ACATTGGAAAGTGAGTTTTGTGGTGCAAAAGGGCGACAACCCTATGGTGAGGTTGGAGTCTGTCCGTCAAAATCAGCGATTACGCAGAGTTTACGAAAGCGCTCTTCACCTCATCTATCCAGAAGGATCAGTAGACTCCATGATTATCATTTGAAATGAACAATGGCTTAAAAACTCCTCAAACCAGCTGTTTGTTGACGCAGTTTGTCCTCTGCTGCCTTTGGAAACGAAAAATGCAAGGATCATCTTTTCTTGAGTAGCATGACAGGTCCTAGGTGCTGCAAAGGTTTCATATTCTGGGATGTAACTCTACAAAAAATTTGGGAGTCAAGGAATGCGATAATGTTCAAAAAGGCCAGGTGTCCTTATAATTATGTGCAGCTTGCAAAACAGGTTTTTTCGAATTTTTCCATTTTTCTCCGTTCGAAATCGACGGGATTGGAAGCCGTTCTGAGGAGTTATGGAAGGCTCACATGCGCACCATACAGCAAAGTTTCAGGCAGATTCACTAACAAGAACGAAAATTACGACGATTTCTAGAGTGTCTCTATAATTATGTCCAGCACTATATATGCAACTCCCGCCGAAGCTTTGTCAACTTCAAGACCAAAATGACCGCATTCCGCCGACCTGACGGAACCATAACTGCTTCCCGAAGGTCACTAGAGAAGGTTATTCACGATTTCTCGGATCTCTTTGACAGCCACGTTCACCTGCGTTCAAGTCACCTCAGAGAAGACGATTATGTCGCACCGTCGGTTCTTCCTTCAGAGATTCATCATGCAATCATGTTGATGAAAAATCGAGCAGCGCCCGGTCCCGACAGAATTAAGCCAGAGTCTACATACTTTTTACGCGAGTCATTCTCAACAGGATCGGAAGAGAGTTGAATAAAGGAAAACCGTGCGAGCAAGCTGTGTTTCGAAGAGGATTCAATACGATAGACCACATACACATGGTGTCAAGGCTCATCGAATTATCACGAGAGTACAAGCTGCCGCTCTGTCTCACCTTCATCGACTTGGCAAATGACATGCTGGAAATCGTTTTAGTGGAAGAAGCAAGGGGTAAATCGTTTTTGCGGGGTCCGGGGAGGAGCCGAGAAAGAAGATATCAAGTGCAAGCAAAAGAAGGTCGAATTATGCTTATTACCGTATACAGTCATTCATCTTTCTAATTCATTAAGAGTAGTTTTTGTAAGCCTCAACGCACAGCAGATTTCGCGCGCGCTACGCCGCGCCGCCGGTATGCCGCGTGCGCAACGTTGCGTAAGCGATGCCGTTGAACAACATGATTAAATGATCAGTTCTCAATGCAGGCGTAACGATATAGCACCAAACTACGTAAACAAACAAAGAGAGGGTACTAGAAACAAATAATGAAATATTATGAAAAACTTATGTGAATGGGAGGTAACAAGCATTTTTTCCAAATATTTTGCAAAACTGCTAAACGAAGGTGTGATTTCAAATAACTTGTTTGCAGCGCACAGATAACCATACGGTTCGAAACGTTGTAGGTGCATGAGCACGGGCCTGCAGGGCTTAACTTAGAAGTTTCATTGAAAAATTATGTGACTGAAGGTTGTGGCAAACTTTTTTCTGAAAATTTCCCACTATCAAGAAAATGGAGAAATGGCTCGTTTGCAACGCAGAGAAAACAAAATCGTGCGAGACTTGGTGTGTATACGCGCAGTAGGACTAAGGAAAAATGTATGAAAATTATAAAAAACTTATCTGAATGAAGGGCGTGCCCAATTTTTTTCCAAATTAGGTTGCAATTGCCCACTTACTGCCCACCTGAAGTAGGCAAAACTGTCAATTCACATAAGTTTTTCAAAATTCTCACATAAATATGTTGCACACCTAAAGTTTACTATATTTTAGGGATTTGGTTCCGAAACTCCTCCTCTTGTCTTTGTTAGAGCCCAAAATCGCCAGCCCAGCCTTCTAAGGAGGAAAGCGCTCCAGTCAATCGATACGCGGGAGCGGCATCTCTCAGTTATATGACTGTGTTACTTTGATACTTCTTCTTTCCTTCACCATTTTTTTGCTTATTCTTCATCCTATTTGCTATCTTGATAATGATGAGAAATAATTAGAAGGATTTGAGCGTTTTTGGGCGCTTTTGAGCGCTTTCAGGCGAAGTGTAACCGGCGCTGTCGTTGCACAAGCACAGAGCATCGTTTTTGGGCTCAAGGGGGTATTCGTAAAAAATTTTGGGACCAAAAGGGGATTCGTTTTGGAAAACCCCATTTGCCCACCTCGTGCCGGGCCTGAAGAGGGTCTTTGACTCGGTTGAGACTGAAGCTGTCATCGATGTCTTGGGTAATCAAGGTATTCCCACTCAGTACATCAAAGTGATCCGTGAGCTCTATAGCGACACAACCAGCATCACAACATTCTACAAGGACATAACCATTGACGTGAAGAGAGGTGTACGACAGGGCGATACTATATCGCCGAGGCTATGCCCCGCCCTCGAGAACGTCATGCAGACGAGAAAGGGACGAAATGGGAGTGGAAGTCGACGGCCGGCAAATACATCACATTCGCTTTGTTGATGACATTGTATTGATAACACCAAGCATCACGCAGGCGAAACAAATGCTGGTCCAGTTTGACAAAGTGCGTGGAAAGATCGGTCCCGACGAAAAGTTCATGAAGAACGGAAGACTACCTGATGCTCCTTTCATGCTCTACGGAGTGAACATCACCGTGCTCAAGCTACACCTACCTAGGTCGGGAAATCAGTATGATGAACGATCTAGCTCCGGAACTAAACAGGACGAAACATGCAGCATGAGGAGCATAGACAATCAAGGACGTAGTGAAGAAGACCAAGAACATCCGGTTCCGCGCCCATCTCTTCAACTCGACGGTTCTTCCTGCTTTGACGCTTCAGAAACATAGACAATGAGAAACGATTTTGAACGTGCTGTTGAGAGAGCGATGTCAAGAGTGAACCGACTCACGCAAGTGAGGGAAGGAATGCGAAGTGCAACTTTTACGTCTGCGATCGAAAATCAGGGACGCTGCCGCATACGCAACGCAGAGCAAAATAAGATGGGCCGGACACGTGGTGCGTTTTGACGACAATCGGTGGATGAAAGGACGAAAGCTGTAACAGACTGGATACCACTGGACGTCATAGCGAACGAGGAAGACCGCCGGCACGATGGTCAGATATGTTCACGAATTCCTCTAATGAAGTCCTTCAGAGCGTTCCATGTATTCCTGGTGCGATACGCAGACATTGGTCAACAATCGCCCGCGAAAGGGAAGAATGGAGGCATCACTGGTAGCAAGCCTGCTCCAAGCGCTCAAGGCTGCGCGCCGAACATCTCAAGTTCTTTTTCGTCTGTCTAATGTTGTTTTTATGTTTTGTTCCATTATCTTTCGTTATTCGTTTTGACCCATTCATGATCGTGTCGTAGGCCATGTCGTATTTTTGTGGCGAAATCTACGGGGACTTCATTTTTGGAAAATTGTAAAAGCCACCTCTTGTCGAGCTCTGGGAGGGGGGGGGGAGAGGGGGCGGGGATGTTGAGGGAAGGGCATGAAAGTTGAATCTGTGTATGTGTAATATATGTGACAATACCTGTAAGGTAAGTATTGTTTCTCAGAAAAAAGGCCGAAAAAATTTGTTGGGGTGAAGAACGTGAAATGGTCCCTCAAAGTTTTTTTGATTGGTCAATCTCATATATAAAGCTGAATGTGTGTGTGTGTGTGTGTGTGTGTGTGTGTGTGTGTGTGTGTGTGTGTGTGTGTGTGTGTGTGTGTGTGTGTGTGTGTGTGTGTGTGTGTGTGTGTGTGTGTGTGTGTGTGTGTGTGTGTGTGTGTGTGTGTGTGTGTGTGTGTGTGTGTGTGTGTGTGTGTGTGTGTGTGTGTGTGTGTGTGTGTGTGTGTGTGTGTGTGTGTGTGTGTGTGTGTGTGTGTGTGTGTGTGTGTGTGTGTGTGTGTGTGTGTGTGTGTGTGTGTGTGTGTGTGTGTGTGTGTGTGTGTGTGTGTGTGTGTGTGTGTGTGTGTGTGTGTGTGTGTGTGTGTGTGTGTGTGTGTGTGTGTGTGTGTGTGTGTGTGTGTGTGTGTGTGTGTGTGTGTGTGTGTGTGTGTGTGTGTGTGTGTGTGTGTGTGTGTGTGTGTGTGTGTGTGTGTGTGTGTGTGTGTGTGTGTGTGTGTGTGTGTGTGTGTGTGTGTGTGTGTGTGTGTGTGTGTGTGTGTGTGTGTGTGTGTGTGTGTGTGTGTGTGTGTGTGTGTGTGTGTGTGTGTGTGTGTGTGTGTGTGTGTGTGTGTGTGTGTGTGTGTGTGTGTGTGTGTGTGTGTGTGTGTGTGTGTGTGTGTGTGTGTGTGTGTGTGTGTGTGTGTGTGTGTGTGTGTGTGTGTGTGCATACAGACGTACAAACATGCAGACATAAAGACATACAAACAAACAGACAGACAGACAGACAGACAAACAGACAAAGATTTAGCTTTATGTACAAGATGAACTATTTTTCCACTTTCTAATGGTGTGATCTTAAGAAAAAGTTGGTTACAGCTACAATCACATGTTTCATATTGTTGTGTTGTGTTCCCATTATCTGCAACGATTTCGGTGGCATATCGTTATCTCGCAACAAACTCTTCTTTCGCCGAACGGTAATAGGTTTCAAAAACGATGCTTGCCTTTTCACATGCTTGCATAATTTTCGTACTTAGTCCTTGTTCTTTTTCTTTTCTTGTATTGTATCTAACAATTCTTTGACAGCTGTGCTCGTACCCCGCACAAGTTCCTCTTTGGTGTCTTGAAAACCATACAGCTTGCTATTTGCTGCCGTGATGTAGGATGTTTACGCTAGATATACCAGGTTTCTTCTACTAAGACTCGTATTCTTATGGAGCACAATAGAACCTGGTAAAAATTACATAGCCAAAATTGAAGATTTTTTGCACAAAAATGAGCGGTACATTAATATTTATCTAACAATACATAAATAAAAAAATATTGCTGAAATTTGAATATCACATGGCCCATGCGGACTGCAATTGATCAAAATACTTGTCTGTCGTGCCTTTTGCATTCTGCGTTGCTGGTTCATAGTAACACTCATCATTAGCAGTAAGTTGCTTACGCGAAAAACATGATAGTATACGATCCCGTAACAGCCTTGTTTCACCCAAAGCTAATAATGACAGCCAGACGACGATGGCAAACGATCTGCAACAAAGCATTTTTAGGGGTCTCAAAAGCTCTTAGCTTATTTTAGCAACCTAATGACTTTGTTAGTATTGTTCGCTCTCGTTGCAAAGCCTATGACCAATTTTTTTAGTTGCCAGTGATTGTCTAAAAATGATGCTGTTGTCAGTGAGCATTTTCAGGTAATGGTTCTTGAAGCAAACATACTAAAATTGTGAACTCAATTAGAGTACACCCAAACTTAGTTATCTAGCTTTCTCGTCTTAAAGGCAGTGTCTCGGCAGAATTTCGTTTTCCAGTTGTTCACCTTTCCGGAACTTTCTCGTCATGAGGAATCCATAGCTGGGCTTTTCAGCGCATGAGAACGGCGAAAATAAGCTTTTCCCGAAGCTTTCCAGGTCCGCATTTAGTGAAGATAGACAGAAAGTCTTCCTCCCTCGTTCCAGGCCCCTCCCACTTGCAAGTAATCTCCACTGAATGCGGTAAAAAGCTTCGGAAAAAAGCTCATTTTCGCCATTTTTATGCGCTGAGAAGGCCAGATATGGGTTTCTTATGACACAAGGCTCCGAAAAGGTGGAAATCTGGAAAACTAATTCTGCCGAGACACTGCCTTCAATAGCTTTCGAGAATTTCCAAGTTTTGCATTGTCCAGCTTCAACTTATATTTACAGTGCAAACAAATCACCAGCCTTTGTTCATTACAGTAGGATCAAGAAACGATTTTCTACATAATGTGCAACAAAAAAAGTTTTTTGGGAACACAAATCTTAGTGAGCTAAAACTCTAACATTTAGTCAATTTAAATCATTGTTTCCAACTAAAAGTGCTAATTTTTGTAAAGAAAATTTCTTTGGAAGCACTCCGTATGCACTATAACTGCTGTTTTCTTGACATCCTCAAAAACGCTATTGCTACATTTAGACAGTTAAGATTCCAAAGAGCTAGTTTTCAGGTTTCCATGTACTTGATCATCGGGTCTAAACCCTATTTCATGTCATCAGCCTTGAAAAGCCAGGATCGAGCTACTTCCTTGAAAAAAATGGATAGTATGTAGTGTGTCCTCCAAAAGGTGAGAGACGTGAGATCGACTATCCGTCTGCTACGCTAAATTCGTTTTGTTTAATTTGAGAACCTTGTGAAGTCCAGCAAAGGATTCTTAACTTATGAGTTGATGTTCATGTTTTGACTTCCATAAGTAAGCTTTTGGAATTTTTGTCAATCCATGTTTTTTCGCTCAAGTTTCAACCTTAAATTACATTTTTGAAGTATAATCGAGATGTAGTATTTTTTGAAAGAATTGGACGAAAGTAGACTTTCATGTATTTTAGTACATCAATCGCTTTATCTTCTTCTGCTCAAATTTCGTGGTTTTGATATTCGAAATAAAAAACTTACATGGCTAAATAACAGTCCACAAAGGCATACAGTAGATGGTTGACGGGATTATCTTCGCTGAGCAGCACGAAGCAAGGCGCTGACATGGACATACCAAATGCTCCCCATATTGAAATACCAGCTGAGATGCGTGCAAGCCACTGTAATGCATAATTGAATTTTTTGATTTGGAAAAGGCTGCTACTTTGGAAAAGGCTGCTACTTAGTTTCGTGCAAATCCGTTGTCCTTCAAGGCTCGAAAAATTTACAAACAGCAGGACTCTATTTTTCAGTTCGGCATGTGATTGAGATGTTAGAGACAAATGGACTCTATTTGTATAATCTCTTTACTTGTCGATTCCGCTTTCTTTAACAATCTAATTAAAATTGAGCATGATCATGTTGTATCCCATGCCGGCCATTAGCGCCCTTTAAATTAACCGATAATTATGTTAACTTCAAGCGGATTTACACATAATTTATAGCGTCTTTTCCCTGATCATCTCACAGGTTTTTTAGATTGATAAAATGAACTTTCCACACGAGGAAATTAGGAGTGCCTACAAATCGAACCAAGCGTATGGGTCCTATAAGGTTTCACCGGTGTTTCGTAAGCTAGATTAGAAAACTTTGTGAGACATGTAATTTTCATTTGAGTAATGCTAGAATGTATCCTAACATTCATGTTAGATTACCTAACTAAAAACCTATAAGTCAGTCCAATTTTATATTGCGTTTGTTGGGAAAGTATGTTTCGTCACCTCGCAGCTGACAAGAGACTCACCTTAGTGACGCGTACGTTTTCGGTTAGTTGAAACTTCACACTTAAAGTATAGTGAATGGTTGAGAAACCGCTTTCTTTTGCCAAATCACGAAGTTTAGCAGCATCACGTCTGTTGACGAATTGAATGGCTAGTGATGAACATATGGATATAACAGTAGTAGCCACAACAAAGAAAAGCATGAGCGAAAGACCTGAAAAGATGGTATGCGAGGAAGCCGACATTGTCGCATGTTTTTTCAACTTGTACGGTATTAGGCAAGGTGAATGCAATCGTAAAACCCAATACAAGAGCTAAATTTGCAAAAAAAATTTCATTCAAAGTGCTGATGAAAGGCTAGTATTGTCTTACCGAAGAAAAATGATTGAAGAATAACATAGTACAGAGCACCAAGCACCAAAGACCCTCCATTTACAAGAACTGATATCCACCGCCGGGGAACCCGTTCATAATCGTGGATATAACGCGAGGCAAGTAATCTTTCAGTTGTCATAGCCGAAATCATAGTCATCATGCAGAACAGAGGTACAAATCGTATAAAGAATAACAGGAACAATATAGGATCGAAAGTGCCTGGAAAATGAAAGTTCTTCTCATAAAATACCACAACTCCAATTCAATGGGTTGAGCGTAAGGAGTGACTACGAAAATTTCCAACGTAAGATAACAACAAGGACCAGAAGATCTTACCCGGCGGAAACGTTTTAAATAGCCGTGGCATCTGCGTTCAGTCATTCAACGCTCGCTTTGGCATTAAAAATCTATCGGTGTTTCAAAGGTGAGTGCTTGTATAAACAGCTAACTACTAATCCACCAAAGCCTTAGGCTGGGTTCATACTGATCCGTAAGTTACGGAACAGTATGAATCCGGCCGTGTTGGTCCCGTATGCGCGTACCCGCGGGGAGGAGAGGGGATTTGAGAGGGGACGAGTCACATCTCGCTATTTTAGATATTTTTCTTCTTCTTTCTATCCGGCTTATGAAGGTTCTCATATCCCTATACATGCGCATAATGGATGCCAGGTTAACCAAACATGATTAGATTTTCACTATTTTTTGCGTTTTTTTTTGTGTTCCCTTGGGGATCCCCAGGGAATTACCTCTCATACAAGGTCCTTTATCTTCCTGGGAAGTCAATGAAAACGCTGTAAAATTGTACTGAGGATATACTACGGCACTGCTAAACATGTTTTCGACAGCGGAATCTGAAGACTTTGAATTTTTAGATAACTCCTAACTCGCGAGCAGTTGTTCATCAAAAATTTCGATAAATTTACGCATTTTACAATACCACCCGTAATTTGTGAAAAAAAATGGCGGCGGCACTTAACTTACGCGGCGCCGCCGAAGTTAGGTGACTTTTGCCGCGTCGCGCGGCAAAAGTCGGCGGAAAAGCGGCCAAAGTCACCTAACTTTGTCGCGCAACGCCTAACTTTTTATAAAAAAAGACCTTATCTCGCTTCAAAATTTATGAATTCTATATATAAGAGTACCATTCAACTCAGCTCGGCGAGGCGCATCTTCCAATATACGGATGTGCCTAGTTGTGGGATATAAGTTTCTTTCCTGGAATTTTAGTGTAAATGGACCATTCAGTGTGCTGATTCCAGAGGCTACGTACACATTCTATTGAGCACAGCAGAAATAGGGCAGGTATAGTTTAAGAGCTCATTCTGCATGGATATATGTGAAACTGGGCAGCTCATTCTGCATGGATATGTGTGAAAGTGGGCTTTTCTCGGCGAAGTATGACGGGTCCCAAAATGCAGGAGGACAAAGGGAAATGGTTGGAAATCGCATGAGAAGCACATATCGCGGAATGCCGCGCGTGCTGTGCAATGTACAATACCACTCACAGAACGGGAATTGCGCGAAATTCCAGAAATTTCGCGATTCCGGATTATCGCAAATTATGCAGCGCCATAACTTCCTTCGGAATTAATATATTCTAAATTCGAAAGCAGCGTTGTGTTCAGCTCGTCAAGGCGAATCTTTCTACATACGTCGTGTCATCTATATCTTGTTTTCAGTTTTCTCAAATTGTTCTGAGGAGGTCCCTTTGCAAGTATGTAACGCAGCGCCTATCCAACTTGAAAGCTTCCAGTAAGCACCATTCGATAGTGCTCTTCTTGTGCATTATAGCGCGCTAGTAAGCTGCCGCAGACTTCTTTTCAAAAGAGAAAAAAGCGTTGGTAAATTCTGGAAAAATCACTCGTTTCCAGATTCTACTCGCCGTAACTTTCTTTGGAGTGGATATTTTCTGAATCCGAAAAATGCATTGTGCTCAGCTCATCAAGGCAAATCTTTCGGTATGCAGAATGTCCTTGATATCTCGATTTCAGTATTCTCAAAACTTCGTCTCTTCGCAAAGGTGTGAAGCAGCGCGTATTGCCCCCAGTACATTCAGAAAGAAATTTTCGATAGTACTTCTTTTGTAGATTATGGAGCGCTAGAAAGTAGCCGCACACTCCTTTTCAAAGGAGTTAGAAGGGCTGGTGAATTCTGGAAAAATCATGTCCTTCTAAATTTTTCTCAACGTAACTCTAAAATATGAAGCTCTCTTGCTAAGCAGATGTGATTTTCGTAACCAGCAGGTCGGATAACCCTTAAGTGCAAGTTTTCCAAGATGTTCAAGTAATTTCATTTTTTCTCGTTTTACGCTCTGAAGCTGGCCGATGGATTTTGGTCAAAATGTTCATGCTCTTAAATTGTAAGGAAACTTCGCTTATAGAGGTTTTCGAACACGCTCTTTACGAAAATCGTGGTCTTTGAGGATTACAGGGTCTTTTTGGTGAGATACGGTGAGGTGACTGTAACTGCATCACGAAAGTGCGTAAATTGGCCCGCACTTCTCGCGTATTTGTCAGCAACCTTGCCTGCTTGCTTTTCTCAGTCAAAGTAGTACTCTGCGTTGATACCACTGCTT